CTCATTTTACACGGCCACCCATTACCTCTCACCCCTAAAGGCTTTTTGCTTTATTTTACTAAGAGTGGAAAATGCTTCTTCAACATTCATTAGTAAGTATTTTACGTATTGTTAAAATGAACAAACAAAACATAAACCACCCCAGATCACATAAACACACGCTCCAGGAGGATTTATTAGAATGAAAGTTCAAGGCAGAATCACCTTACACAAACAGGATTCTGCTGCCCTGATTTCTTCATATGAAAACTTGGCACTGAGCTCACATTCCAGTGCCTGTCCCCCGACCCTGACACTTGTTGAGGAAAGAGGCCAAGACAGAATAACTTGTGAAGGCAGAGATGTTTGCTCTCCTGTCTCACATGCATGAGTGGAGGCTGGCTTAAGAGTTCCTTCCAATTTCTCCTCCTTTTGCAATTTCAACTCAGGGATAGATTTGTGCTCTGAATAATGTATATGGGGACTTACATGCTTATAATAGATCCAAAGAAACAAAAGCATGGAGGTATGCTAACAGCATTAGCCTAACAAACCAGCCAGGGACTCTCACATGGCTGGCATGTGCCAGCAGCCAAGCTCCATACATTCATATAACCCTGCCCAAATCAGCATAACCCAGAGACTGGCCCATTGCAATAAGCTTGCACTGTCTCGGCCTTGAGCTGTAAGAGCTGCCCAGAATACCCACAGCTGAACAACCACTGCCATATCTATGTTTTAAGATCAGGTCTGTGTGGAACACTGCTCAAACAGCCTCCAGTATTGCAGGACTGTGACGAATGATTCATGTAACGCTACAGAAGTACATGGCAAAGTGAAAATAGAGCAAACTGCATCTGCCCATGCTCCAGGGAAATGCCAGGCCACAGGCATCCTCCCAAACAAATGATGCAGCCAGTGCAGCACAGAGTTCATGCTAATGCTGTGGGGTCTGTACTGATGTAACCTGCACATTAGTCCTGTATGAGCAGTCACAGCTACATCGATCCGCTCAAGGGCTGGCACACTAGTTCTATCTGTGTACGACATGTGATAGACATGAATCTCATGTATCCCAGTGGCATTCTGCTCTGAGAGTCTCAATTTCTAACCCTGTTTCCAGGGATGAAAACCTGGCATAGGGGGCGGGGAGGAGGAAGAGCCAAATTCCTATCAGAACTTTGGAGCCAGCTTCCTCACTAAGTCACATTCTGGCTTCACTAGAATGCCTCCCACCACAAGAGTCTGGCTGCAAACAATACATCTCCCCCAAACCCAAGAGCTTTACCCAGGATTTTCCAATTGTATCTGCCATTCTGGATGACTGGTGAAATTGTCTGAACCCTTTTGAGATACTGCAGTGCTGCTGGAAAAGTCAGGACACTGGCTGAACTCAAAAGGGAGGTGAAGAGAGTTGGATAAAGTTTACAGAGCAACTCTACCAGACACGATCAGGATCTGTTGCCTCAGCTGTGGGCTGTGCTAATTTCACCTGTCTTCACTTTCCACTTCAGACAGCTTTTGGCAACAGCAGTGCCCAGAGTTGACAAACATCCTGTATCCCAAAAGCTCAGGCTCCCATTTATCTGAGCAATTGAGGAGGCTGTGGCGATGCCTGGGCAGATAGTGTGTGTCATGTTCCAGGCTGGCAACGGTCTTCTATTTCAGATAAAATACAGATAAAAAACTTTCTTAAAAAAGAGATAAAAAACGCTCTTTTCCAGTTCCACAAATAACTCTATTTGGAAGAAATAAAATTATTCATCTTTTGTTGTTAATGCATTTTAATTTATTTATTTTTTTTTTAAAGGGTAAAAGACACAAAAATCAGCCCCCCAAAAATCCAAGAAGGCATTTTCAGAATATAGCTATAGCAAACTACACTGCTGGTTTCACTCACCTTAGTTTTTACTACACCTATTAAGTAAATCCTCTCAATGGCTTATTGATTATTCTCTTGAATTCTAATATCCCTAGACTTGATTGTACAGTATCAATGGGAGTCCATCAAAGCCACACACTCTGAAGGATAAATGAATTACCTCACTGTCTAACCCACACCTATTATTTAAATTATCTTTCAAAGAATGCTATGGAGAAGAGGAAAAATGTAGTAGTGAAGACTAAAACTATAGGCTTTTGAGACTGCAGTTCACAGAATCCCAGAGTGGTTTGTGTTGGAAAGGACCTTAAAGCTTACCCAGTTCCAACCCCCTGCCACGGGCAGGGACCCCTTCCACTAGAGCAGCTTGCTCCAAGCCCCTGTGTCCAACCTGGCCTTGAACACTGCCAGGGATGGGGCAGCCACAGCTTCTCTGGGCACCCTGTGCCAGCGCCTCAGCACCCTCACAGGGAAGAGCATCTGCCTAAGATCTAACCTGAGCTTCCCCTGTTTCAGTTTGAACCCATCACCCCTTGTCCTATCACTACAGTCCCTGATAAAGAGTAGAAGTACTGGCAGAAGTTCCTGATTCCATCAGGCACCAGTCTGGCAAGTGGTAACTCAGGTGTCTTTCTGCTAGTTGGCCTACTGTTTTTTTCCTGAAGGCTAGCATGAGCATGGGGAGCCCACAAAGCAGTCTGTAACTGCCTTCTCTTTCCAGGGAGCTTTAGCAAGCCGTCAGCTCATTTGAATGAGCTTACATTTGGAAACAGGGTGGGTTTTTCACTTTATTGATGCACTCTTCCACACAGGATTTTTTCAAAATCTACATCAAACAAGGAAAAACAAATGCTGAGAGGGCAGATTTAGGGCAATTTATCAAGGTCTGGGAAATAGCTTCCAGATGGATAGAGCTGTTTGGTGCTGGCTGGTGAGAAGGAAGCAAGGTATTGTTATTGAATTAGCATGAATCTCTGGTGGAGAACTGCATAGTAGATAGAGTGCTTCTTTCATATGGTTTGCATTTGGACTTGTCATAGTTCATTTTTATTCAAAAACCTGTGGTAAAGACACGCAGGTTTTTTTTTTGATTATTAAATTTCCCCCAATTCCCCCGGTACTGTTACCCAGTCAGTATTTTTCAACTCTGCTCTAAGTGCCATGTCTGGCTCTGTTTGCTCTTTGCCATGCTTGGATGACAGCTTGGTGCTTACAAGCTCACAAGTGGTTTTAGGCTTTACAGTCACACACTGAATGTTACCTGAGAAAGTGTGAGAGAGGAGAAAAGCTGGATGCTCAATGAGATGTTTAAACTGAGTAACTTCAAGAGTTTATCAAAACCAAAGCAAAAGGATGCAGACCGAGGTCTAATGCACACAAGAAAGTGACTGCTAGTATAACCAGAGGATTCTTCTTGTTAATAAAGCCTCCCTTTGTAAACAAGTCTTCTAGCAGTATAAATGCATCTATATGAGTGCATTTGCTAATACAGAAATACTGTAAAAGAACAAAACAAAGAAACAAAACTAAGGACAAAAAAAATACTCAAAACCAACAAAATTCTACTTTGAATAACCTGGATACTTCAATATGTGCCTTACAGAGTAAGACTCACAAAAAGATTTATGTATTTCCTGCTAGGTTTGAAAGCATTTACTTTTCCAGTTACCCGCACAGCCACCTAGTCCCACCTGAAGCATTCAACCTAGTTTATGTTACCATCAAATAAAAATGACAGCTCTTCTATTAACCTGAAGAGATAAACAGCCATAGTCCCTCACTGCAAAGACAAAGCAACTGCTACCAAGCAGTTAGTTTCAGTTAAACAAATTTCTGACAATGCAGAAATCTTTTAAGATCCTAGAAAAGTTGCTGCTGATATGCCAATGAGGAGAAGGAGTTTTAATGACAAGGCATTTCCAATGGCTTTCTCAGTTATTTAGGACAACTGTTGTTTTTCCAAGTAGTGGGTGTGGGGGCACTGGGGTGAAAGACAGGAAACACACTTTACATCTTCCCACTTCCACAATTACTCTTACCATCTGGGATGTATCCCAGGCAAACAGAGAAAGGAAATGGCAATTTCATCAGAACCAACTAATTCCTAAATCTTACCTGAAATGTAAGATGGATACTTGTGCTTACTTCCCACATGTATGTCTGGTTTTACCCTTCTTCCCCCCCCCCCCCCCCCCCCCCCAATTCTTATTACTCTGTGTATTATAAGCATCTGCTTCAACTGACCAAGACTCTGTAAGAAAGATGCAATGCGACAAAGAGAATCACAGTCTCCAGGATGCAACCTACTTCTTTGGCCATAACATCCAATCTCCCCCAGGCTGTGAACAGATCATATGCCTCATTTATTACTTATACTTAATCCTTAAGCTACTGACTACTGAGCTAGGTTTCCAGTTATATCAACTCTGAAACAAAGTCTTGGTAGCCTCAAGCTCTCATGATGCAGTGTTAGCAATGGCAGTTACACACCACTACTGAAGAACCTGTATTATGCAATGACATGATTTTCTGATTTTCAAATGTGCTCTAAAGAAGCTGACCCTGCATGCTCACAGTGCTCATCTACCAGATTTCTTTTGTGATTTGCACATCACTCTATGGACATTAGTGCTCAGAAGTCAAGGGACAGCTGAGCTAGTGGTTGTGTCTGATCAGTTATCATCTTTCTGCTAATCAGGCTGTGCAAGATGTAAAGCAGGTATCAGCTTTCTGTCACCATGGACCAAACTGGCCCTTAATTCTCATCTGAACTGCCTCCTCGTTGACCTGGCAGCATATGAAATGGTTAACTTGTTGCTGACAAAAGAAAGAAATTAAAATGAAGATAAAATCAGAGAATGCCAGAGGTTAGAAGTGACCTCTGGAGATCATCTGGTCCAACCACTGGACCAGCAAGTTGCTCAACTTCAACATCTGTGTAGTCACAGCACAGAGAAATGCCTCCCCAGTTGTACAGGATAAATCTCCAGTTGTACAGGATTACATGCAATCTGCATGGTTAAGGGATCTTTTAAGCTCAGCTGCCTATAAAATTGACTTCTCATGGTACAACAACTAAGAAAACAGAAGGGGTGAGGAACACTTGATTGCTTTTCATGTAGTTCATTTGTAGTCATACCTTGAAGCCAAAAGGGCAAGTGCATTGGTAAATCTCCAGTGGATCATTGTTGCACGTCCCATTGTTCTTACATGGGTTGGAGAGGCAGGGGTTACACTTGGACACAACACTGATATCCACTGGCTCTGGAAAGGCAAAACACAGGAGTATTAATAGACAACTGGATTACAAAATGAATAGTTCCCATCTCACACATACATTCTTTCCTAATGCAGTATTCACCCTGCGCTGGCACAAATGCACGTGCTGTGGGTGCAACTTTCCACAACAGCATGGGATTCCCAGGGATCAGAGAGCTTCTAAGTACTAAATCAAGTGCTAGGCAAGTCTCAATGATGCTGATATTCTCCTGGACATGCAAGCATCAGCTCTGAAAAAACATGCTGGGAATCTCCAGAGAGTGGGCTTATATATATACAAATATATATATAAATAATATATATATACAAAATTGCTTTCAGTAATTTTTCCTTCTCTCAGTGCTGGAAATTCTGCAATAGCAACCCATAGGGATCTATAACGTGACATTTGTATGGCTGATAGCAAGAATGAAAGTGCAGACACAACAGCAGAAAAAGAAAACATGCATAAGAAAGATTTAGTTAGAGGCTTATGGAAATATTTAAGTGCAAATGTTCTACCATCCTTAATTTTAACAGAGGTGAAAACTGATTTTCTTCTTTTTTCTGCCCAGAAGTTTGATTATCAGCATTCTGCCACTGTAGGCAGAATGCAACATAGGCAAACACGCAAAGATGTAAACGGCTGCAGGTAAATACACATGGCTATATTTAAACCATTTAATAAACCACATTTTTTTAACAGAGCTCTTTCAGAGAAGTAGCGATGTTTGTGGCTGAGCAGGGAAACAAACAGACCAACACAAAGCTAAGTACATTTGGGGTACCAAGTCAATCCATATGTTATGGTTGAGACTTTACAGAAAGCTAATTTAGACAGCTATATTTAAAGAAATAGTGATTTTGAAATGGCTACATTTCAAACAACATTGAGTTAAAGGCTTTTACACACAGAAAAGGAAACCTACCAGTTTTAAAGGGCTTAAATTGCATCAGATAGGAAAGACTCTAAATTAATTTTATTTTATTTTTAAGGAAATGCACATTAAAATAACTTAAAAATGGTCCTGTCCCAATCAGAAGTGGGCACAAAGTTTCTGTTATTGCAGGATAGATGATAAAAACTAAATTGTGGAACATCCTGAAAGTGAAGAACAGAAGTTTATCCTTGATATTAGAGAGAAGGTGGAGCTCTAGAAGGTTACCAAAAATCCCTTCCAGTTAAGGATTTGTTTTGGACCATCCTGTATGAGAAAGAAACTTTCATTATTAACTTTGAATAACTGCATGCATCAACGTTGGGTAAAACCGTGACAGAGATGGGTACCAAGGAGCCTCAGCTGAGAAGCACCTGCAATGCAAATACATATCCTTATCTTTTACAGACAGTGGTGTTATCAGGGCCACTGCCTGCAGAGTGCACCATGCAATAATGAGGACAAAATACACAAGCAACAAATCCAAACATTGAAATAAAAGATTGATGTTGTCCTCTTCTATCTTTTTGTTTCTGTATAACTAAATGCCATACATGTTTTTAAATTGAAGTTAGGACAGCAAGAGGAACTAATATCTGAATTTCTGGCACTGACAGGGGGTGGAATGTGACATATCTGAGCTACTTTTGTCTTGGAAGTAGAATATATGAGGAATATACAAAGGTAGCTCCTCAGAAAGCTCATGAGAAGGCAGCAGTGCTGCTCTTCCGGATTTAGAGGTCACTAAGCCAGAATTTGTTCTATTATGTATTTATTTCATAATATACACACATACATTTCCCATTTATTCCTATGGCATAGATCAAAGCTAATCAATGCAGGACCTAATAAGAACAGTGTTAGTTCCTAGCAGTTAAGTAGTTCCTTAGTTTGCCCTTGTGGATTTGATTTATAAATCCATATAGCAAAATGCCCTCAGCCCAGCACATTCCTTTCCTCTACTGCATAACTACGAGGGCAATTTAATAAAAAGCAGAGCTGAGTGTGCATGACTTGCACATTACATACTTCCATTTTCTTGGCTCTGCTGAGACACATAACCTTGTGCTCAGTCACAGGCTAAACCCCACATTTTTACTAGAGTAAGTTACACTCCACTTGGTTTTAATGTCAAAGTTACTGGAGGTCACAGAGGACACCTAAGCACTACGTTTATACAAGCACCTCAAGGTACCCAGCTCAGAGTGGCCTGACCCCTGCAGCAACGACACAGGCTTTAGGGCCTGGGGGCTCAGCCCACCCTGAGCTATGTGCTAACACTGCTTGAGCTAGGACTGAATCTACAGAGGCTGAAGGACAGACAAAGCCTTGGACACTGTTACCCCACACACAGTCGTAATCTTCCACTGTCACAGGCCATGCTCATGGCTCCAGACCGAAGGCAAACCTGCCCTGGACACTGTAATAAATCCCCTTGCCTTACCATAAAAGAGCACCATTGATGTCTGACAGGATAGCACAACACATTGGATCTTAACCATGCACATGGGAAGTGGGTTTCATTAGGCTACCAAATCATGCATTGCTCTTCAAAATACATGTATTGTGATGAGAAAAAGTAATATTTTTCTATGGCCTGGAGTTTCTTGGAGTATACTGCAACTTGTCCAGACCATCAAGTCTCTTCTGTCCAAAGACCACCTCCAGATCGACACTTTTTTTGTCTTTTTCTATTCAGCTAAAGTAAGCCAGTTGGACAGCCAAACCTACCTAATGCAGTAGTAAACTACTTACTTTATCCACAAAGCGTGCTCCTTGTCCTTGCTCTACCTGCTCTCTCCTGCAGCATACTCTTACCAACAAGGACCCCTAATTGCCCATAGCTGACCCTCACCCCTCTCCTGAAGGAACATACACTCTATTCAGACATGAAACATTTTCCATGACCCCCAGTTTCTGACGCAGAGCTGATGAGGACAGTTTGCAGATCTTCAAATGCAAATGTACTTTTGGTAAATACTTGTTCCAGAAGAATTCTCAGTTTCCCAGTTTTCACGTAAAGGTACATAATAACCAGAGCGCTCTGTATTTTTAAATAACTCTACCAAAGTTTTCTGGTGTAGCTACAAAGCCAAGACCAATTTATTTGCTCAAATAAGTTCTAACAACATCCTATATGCTAACTTGCCATTATATAATCTGGTGCAGCAACAGGAACACTAACTCTTTGAGGTTTGCTGGGTTTCCTTCCAGTAGTGATGTCAACTGCGCTTTGTGGAACAAAATGCAACTTGAATGTAACGTGATGGTTCAGAAAATAAAAGCCAAACCTGATGCCCACCCAAACTCACTTTAAAACCAAAGAGTTCCCAAAAGTACAGAAATAAAGCACTGCACCTGAGGAAAAGCCTCCAGCTTGCCCCTACCTTTGCACTGGAAGTGGTGCGTCGGTGTTGTGAGCAGCAGCCTGTCCACCATGGCATCGGGCCCGCTGCAGCGGGCTATCCCCGGCTCCTTGTACCCAGCCTTCACCCACTCGGAAAGCCAACGGAGGTTGCAGTCACAGTGCAAAGGGTTGGTGCCCAGAGCCCTGGTGGTGTAAAGCAATGAGCAGCAGTTATTTTGGCTTGCAAGCAAAGACAACATCCCTGATCTCACCGAGGCACATTCTATTCTACCCTTTTCCAGGAATGCTTTACTTCAAAATGTGGAAAAGATCTTTGGAGTGTACAGGAAGCATTGTAGATTTATCTCTTCCAGTATTCCCACTCTTCTCCTTTCTTCCCATCATTGCTTAGGAGGTTGTATAAATACCTAACAAGAAATCACTTTTTCCAAACTATAAATCGCTTTTTCAAACAGTTGTGCTTGAGCAATGCCTCCAGATATATTGCTTTCATCACATTTATCACATTGGCTTATTCTACTTCAGTCTTTGGCCTTTATGAGCATATTCTGACAGTGAATTGTGTAATTTAGGTTGGATCTGAGGACTCGTGTTACTGTCTCCTCACCAGATGAAACATATATACAGAGGATACCCCTGTTTTACGAACTGCAACCTGGTGTCTGCTAAGTTTGTTTATGGCTTGAAAACACATTTCCTGGTTAACCCATCACTTGAGTTAGGTCAGATGGCTGAAGCAGATGTACTCACACAATGTAATTATAATGCATAGAACTTTTTCATTATTCATGGAGATCTATCCAAAGGAAAACAAACCTTTTAACCTTAAGTTTAGGTGCTGCCTTGCTTCATTTATACTATTTTTTTTGCTTAAATAAAGTGTCTTTTCAGGCAATCAGTCAATTCCCAACAAAGTTCAGACTTCAGAAAAATAAGTTTAACAACGAATTTTTGAATGTCTGAAGAAATGCATGTTGGAAGCCTGAATTTGTTTTGATGGAAGTAAATGTAAGGCTTTAGCTGTACAACACTTGAATTGCCATGGGAAGAAGATTAACTAAATAAAGACTAGCATTGGGAAAAGATACTAAATAAATCAGTAAGTTAAACTGAATTTGAGACTTCATTTCTATCTGCATATGTTATAAACTATTTTTAAGATGGTATTTTAAACTCAAGCTTCTTTCAAATAAAACCATATCAGACAGGATATTAAGATAGAAACCTCAGTAAATTTGTTGATACATTTCTATTAGAGTGACTAATGAACCCACTGTGCCCTAGACAGATTCATAATGGGAGTTCACGGGTTCAAACCCTGTCTAGGGCTCATTCATCAAAATTAAACGTGTACTACAGCACACTATTAAAAAATATCCAGCCATTCCTTCTGTAAATCCATTGCTTACAATGGAAAAAAACCTACTGAGTTGACTTTCTGACCCTGTAACTGTGATCAACCTGCTCACTTGGCCAAATTCAAACAAAATTCAGCAGTTGGACCAAGAAATTCACTTTAGCGTTGAGCAGCTTCCATATACAAACTGGAAGAGGGAGGACAACAGAAAACTAGTAACTGTGCTAATTAATCTTTATAAACTGCATTGGAAATAAATCATAGAATCTCAGACTGGTTTGGGTTGGAAAGGACCTTAAAGCTCACCCAGTCCCAACTCCTGCCACGGGCAGGGACACCTTCCACTAGAGCAGCTTGCTCCAAGCCCCTGTGTCCAACCTGGCCTTGAACACTGCCAGGGATGGGGCAGCCCCAGCTTCTCTGGGCACCCTGTGCCAGCGCCTCAGCACCCTCACAGGAAGAATTTCTTCTTTATCTCTAACTTGAACTTCCCCTGTTTCACTTCGAACCCATCACCCCTTGTCCTATCACTACAGTCCCTAATGAAGAGTCCCTCTCCAGCATCCTCGTAGCCCCCTTCAGATACTGGAAGCTGCTCTGAGGTCTCCACGCAGCCTTCTCTTCTCCAGGCTGAACAGCCCCAACTTTCTCAGCCTATCTCCATGTGGGAGGTGCTCCAGCCCTGATCATCCTCATGGTCTCCTCTGAACTTGCTCCAACAGCTCCATGCCCTTTTTATGTTGAGGACACCAGAGCTACACACAGTGCTGCAAGTATGTAGAGAGTACTCCAAAGCTGCTCTGTGGACACTAGAAACTATTACCATCGTGTTGTACAACTACAGAAATTATCCCATGTATTTTTCTGTTCTTTTGTTTGTGTTTCTGGTTTGGGTTGTTCCGGTTTTGTTTGGTTTTTTTTTTATTTTTAATTTCTAGGAATTATTTCAGGTGAATTACTGTATTTTCATTCACGAGTTCTAACATATTCTATTTCTTTGCCCATTATAGCAAAACATTTCCAGAAGACAAAAATATCTTGTGCTGTAAGGAAATACCACCAGTAGCATTTTCAACATGTTGTGCAGATATTTCTGTTCAGACACTGGGTTTTTTTGAGGCAGCCTAGAATAAAGTCCATTAAAATAACTCTAGCCATGATCATGTGGAGAAACAGAGGAGGGGACAGCTTATTTTTATAGGTAACTAACATAAATTTGAGTAAAGTCGAGCTGATTCAACAGGATTAGTAAGATGAGCTGTTCATAAAAACCACATCTGACAGGAACACCTGCTGACAGCATCTATTCCCAAAGGCTTCCTTGGGCAGTCCCTGGAGCATCAAGAGGTCAGGTTATGTGTGGGCAGCATTTGGGAAACTGAGTCGATTGCAGAGCTGTGTGCACCAGTGAGTGGTGAGTACAGCAAACGCAGAGACTGACCTCACTGAGGTCTCATTTCTACCCCAATGGATTTGGGGTTCTTTTTAAGTATCAATATATGCGGTCCTTCTGTAGAGCTGTAACATTTTTACCATTGCCTTGGACTAAATAACTTAAGTCATGGCTTAGATGATTCTATGATGACCTCCCTGTGCCTTTAGCGAGGTGTATCAGGTACACAGTTTGCTGTAACAGTCACATTACAACAATGAGATGTTTACAGTGTCAGTTGCTGGGGTGAGCAGCTCCAGAGGACGCCTTCAACACCGGAGTGGGGCAAGCTCAGCGTCCAGGAGCCTCAACTCTGAGCGGCGAGAGCCACCGAGGGAGCCTCGGGTCCTCGCCAGGCCTTGCCCAGGATCTGGCAGCTCCGCTGAGGCGAGCAGGGACTCACAGGGAGCAGCACCAGGAGGAGCGGCACCAGCCCCGGGTGGGTAAAAACCTGCCCCAGGGAGCGCGGCGAACAGGGCGGTCGGGGCAGGTTGTGGCGCAGAGCGAGCGGGATGGTGAGCATCGAATTATGGCCACGGCCCGGCCAGGGAGCTCTGCTCTGGCTGCCCCGGCGGCGGCAGCGTAGGCACCCAGGCAGAGGAGATGAGAAGGGAGGCTGCAGTGCAGAGCTCGGGGTGCAGAGAGTGCCTGCACTGGTCTGGTGAGGGGAGGGTGCACAATGGGCAGGGCTGCACCCGGTGCTCCCTGGTGGAGGTGCTCCTGCAGCAGCGGCTGGGCTGCGGGATGCTATTAACAGACTGCAAGGTGTCAGAGAAGCTGAGAGGGAGCAGCACGGCTTGCTCCTGGCCCGAACTGTGCAGGTGCCTCAAGCGTCCCCTGTAGCTCATGGAGGAAAGAAGGAGGCCGTGAAACTGGGAAACAGCAACGAGGAAAAAAAACAACAAAAAAAGGAGGAAGAGGACAATTAAAAGCAAGGGGCTTCCTCCTGAATCTGTTGTCCCCACCCAGAACCGCTTTGCTGTTCTGCCGGGGGCTGATGAGGAAACACCCTCGCACCATGAGCTGATGCACTGGTAAAGAAGATCTCTACTGGTGCTGCCAGGAAAAAGCGGTGGGTCGTAGTAGTAGGGGACTCTGCTTTGAAAGGGACAGAAGCACTCGTCTGCCGGCCTGACCCCATCTCAAGGGAGGTGTGTTGCCTACCAGGGGCATGGATCAGGGATGTGGCAGAGAGGCTGCCTGCTCTAGTAAGTCCCGCTGACTATTACCCTCTTCTGGTGACCCATGTGGGTGCTAGGGATATAGACTGCAGCAGCCTGGAGAACATAAAAGAAGGACTACAGAGCCCTGGGAGATGGTTAAGGGTTCTGGAGCTCAGATAATCTTTTCGTCAGTTGTCCAGGATACAGGGGAGGACCTGAAAAAAGCTAGGAGGATTGGCCAGGTTAATAAATGGTTAAAAGGGTGGTGTCATAGTCAGGGGTTTGGGTGTCTTGAACAAGGGACCAAAGTTCATAGGCCAGGTCTACTGGGGGCTGTCTACTGGGGGCTGGTGGAGATGGTCTGAGGGGTTTTGGTAAGAGGCTTGCCAGACTGGTCAAGGATGCTTTAAACTAGCTGTTTAACTGTTGGGGGAGGGGGCATCATTCCATCCCAACACACCCAGTCACTTGCCAGCACCTATAATAAATACTCGGAGCAATGTAGAGATATCCCAGCCGCTCCAGCCAATGAGCTGGCTTCAGTTGGAGCTCGGCTCAGATGCCTCTATACAAACGTCTGTAGCATGGGGAACAAACGAGAGGAATTAGAGATGTGTGCACATCTACGGGGGTATGATATAATAGGCATCACAGAAACATGGTGGGATGGCTCCTATGACTGGAGTGTTGGAATGGAAGGTTATAGGCTCTTTAGAAAAGGCAGGCCCAGCAGGAGGGGAGAGGGAGTTGACCTTTATGTTAGGGATAGACTGGAGAGTATGGAACTCTGTCTGGGGACAGGTGAGCAGTTAACAGAGAGTTTGTGGGTCAGGGTTACAGGGAATACAGCTATGGGAGACATTACTGTGGGGATCTGTTACAGACCACCTGATGAAGAGGAATCTGCGGATGAAGCACTCTACAGACAGATAGGAAAAGCCTCATGCTCGCAGGCCCTTGTCCTCATGGGGGACTTCAACCACCCTGATATCTGTTGAAGGGACAGTACGGCCTGGCACAAGCCATCCAGGAGGTTCCTCGACTGTGTGGAAGACAACTTCCTTCTGCAAGTAATAGAGGAGCCGACAAGGAGAGGTGCCATGCTTGACCTCGTGCTCACCGACAGGGAAGGGCTCATTGGAAATGTGACGCTCCAGGGCAGCCTTGGATGCAGCGATCATGAGATGGTCGAGTTCAAGATCCTCAGGACAGTGAGAAGAGCGTGCAGCAAGCTCACTGCCCTGGACTTCAAGAGAGCAGACTTTGGCCTCTTCAGGAACCTGCTTAGTAAGGTTCCAAAGGATATAGCCCTAGAGAGCAGGGGGGCCCAGGACTGTTGGTTGATGTTCAAGGATTACCTGTTACAACCTCAGGAGTGTTGCATCCTGACTAGAAGGAAGTGCAGCAGGAGGGCCAGGAGACCTCCTTGGATAGATAAGGAGCTGCTGCTGAAACTTCGAGGGGAAAAGAGAGGCTTATAAAAGGTAGAAGCAAGGACAGGCAGCCTGGGAAGAATACAGGGATGTTGTCTGGGAAGCTAGGGACCAGCTTAGGAAAGCTAAGGCCCAGTTAGAATTAAACTTGGCTAGGGATGTTAAGGATAACTAATTAAATTGCAAATAAAAGACAGACTAGGGAGATCGTAGGCCCCCTTAGGAAGCTCTCAGGAGAACTGGCTACACAGGATTTGGAGAAGGCTGAGGTTCTGAATGACTTCTTTGCCTCAGTCTTCACTGGCAAAGGCTCTGACCACACTACCCAAGTCTTGCAAGGCAGATGCAGGGACTGTGAGAATGAAGACCTTGGGCCTGCTCTAGGAGAGGATCTGGTCTGAGACCATCTTAAGAACCTGAAAATGCACAACTCCATGGGACCTGATGAAATCCATCTGCAGGTCCTGAAGGAGCTGGCAAATGAAGTTGCTAAGCCACTGTCCATCATATTTGAGAACTCATGGCAGTCAGGTGAAGCTCCCGATGACTGGAAAAAGGGAAATATAACCCCCATTTTCAAGAAGGGGAAAATGGATGACCCGGGGAATTACAGAGCAGTCACTCTCACCTCTGTGCCTGGCAAAATCTTGGAGCAGATTCTCCTGGAAGGCATGCTAAGACACATGATAAGGCACATGCAAGCACAACAGGGTGCTTGGTGACAGCCAGCATGGCTTCACTAAGGGGAAATCCTGCCTGACCAATTTGGTGGCCTTCTATGATGGGGCCACAGAACTGATGGACAGGGGTAGAGCAGTTGATGGCATCTACCTGGACACGTGTAAAGTGTTCGACACTGTCCCACACGACATCCTTGTCTCTAAATTGGAGGGACATCAATTTGATGGATGGACCACTCGGTGGATAAAGAACTGGCTGGATGGCCGCACACAAAGAGTTGTGGTCAATGGCTCAATGTCCGGCTGGAGACCGGTAACGAGTGGTGTCCCTCAGGGATCGGTGTTGGGACCGGTCTTGTTCAACATGTTCGTCACTGACATGGACAGTGGGATTGAGTGCGCCCTCAGCAAGTTTGCCGATGACACCAAGCTGTGTGGTTCGGTTGATACCCTGGAGGGAAGGAATGCCATCCAGAGGGACCTTGACACGCTTGTGAGGTGGGCTGATGCCAACCTCATGGAGTTTAACCATGCCAAGTGCAAGGTCCTACATCTGGGTTGGAGTAATCCCAGGCACAGCTACGAGTTGGGCAGAGAAGAGATTCAGAGCAGCCCAAGGAGAAGGACTTGGGGGTGTTGGTTGATGAGAAAATGAACATGAGCCAGCTTCAATGTGTGCTTGCAGCCCAGAAACCAACCGTATCCTGGGCTGCATCAAAAGGAGCGTGGCCAGCAGGTCAAAGGAGGTGATCCTGCCCCTCTACTCTGCTCTCATGAGACCTCACTTGGAGTATTGTGTGCAGTTCTGGTGTCCTCAACATAAAAAGGACATGGAACTGTTGGAACAAGTCCAGAGGAGGCCACAAGGATGATCAGGGGACTGGAGCACCTCCTGTATGAAGATAGGCTGAAAACACTGAGGCTGTTCAGCCTGGAGAAGAGAAGCTGCATGGAGACCTCATAGCAGCCTTCCAGTATCTGAAGGGGGGCTATAGGGATGCTGGGGATGGACTCTTCATTAGGGACTGTAGTGATAGGACAAGGGGTGATGGGTTCAATGTGAAACATGGGAAGTTTAGATTGGATATAAGGAAGAAGTTCTTTCCTGTTAGGGTGGTGAGGCACTGGAATGGGTTGCCCAGGGAGGTTGTGAATGCTCCATCCCTGGCAGTGTTCAAGGCCAGGTTGGACAGAGCCTTGGGTGAGATGGTTTAGTGTGAGGTGTCCCTGCCCATGGCAGGGGGGTTGGAACCTTTCCAACCCTAACTATTCTATGATTCTATAATTCTAATGTGAATGAAATTTGGTGAACATTTCCTTGCAGGCTTTAAACAGCTATGGAAAAAGCAATTGAATTATCTGGATCTCGGTGTTGTTCTTCCAATTGCAGATCAATTTAAAGCTATTACAAAAAATTGATGAAAATAAAGTTTTGCCTATGCTATATGACTATTTCTTTGCAATTCTAAAGGTTGATTTGATACTTTCTCTTCCTTGCCCCCAACTGTACTGCTGCAGAAGGCCCAGGGTGGTGATCTGCTCACCACCTTGGGAGTGGGCCTTCTCCAGCCACCACACCTACCTTACTCCTAGCCACACAGCTTGTGTATTTACATAAAACTTTGCTCTCCCTTGCATTGTGAGTTTGATGAGTAGCAATTCCTTGTATAATTTCCAACATTATCCCAAGTGCACACTTCCTCCTTGAAGATCTGTGTATCAGAAGGAGCTCAAAATGAATTTATTCTCAATTATGTATGATTTTGCTTGGATAAGCACAGATTATTCTGGCATGTGAAAAGCAAAACCATGGCGGTTGCTGAAAGTTTCAGGATCCTTTTTAAGAAACTGGAGAACACAACTGCACTGTAAAATTCAGTTGTTCAACTGTGCAAATTACACCCCAGACAGGTCTTATTTATTTTATGGATCCTATTTATTACTGTTCATTTGAGCTTTGTGTATTTTACATTTCTGGCAGCACGTATATCTAAACAGTGAGACTGCAGTGCTTGTATTGGGCCAAAGGGGTTTTTATCACTCCCTAAGGTGAACAGTTTACCCAGGAAAATTGTATCTGCACTTCATTTAAAGTAAACTCTGAGGAAAATCCAAACAAATGGGGCATGATATGTTTATCTCTTGAATTCTAAAAATACCCTCAGAAGCCAGATTCCCATTATGGAAGGTGTCACCGTGCTTCCAAGAGGAGGTACAGGGCTTTGGCTCAGCCTTGCATTCCAAAACAACATACAAAATTACTTGACTACACTGGGAAATGTGAATACGAAATACATTTTGTGCAGAACAAGTATTTTCTCTGACTTGGATACCATGGCATAAGCTTGAAACAGAGAAGGTGATTTCTCAGTTGAAATTGCCTGAGCTGCTCACATAAGATTTCTGTCCCTACCAACCTAAGATACATTTATGTTTTGTTGTCCAGGGGGAAAAGGAAGGCAGAAAGCTGTTACATAAAATAACCAGCCTGAGGACATCCAGAAAATACGTAAATACGAACTGAACCTTGTGTTCAGGTGAGTGCTCTGGAGGGCATGTTTGCACTTGCAAAGAGAGAAACAGAGATAGAAATAAAAACCTATGTCAAATGCACACGTATCTGTATGTCTTGACTTGTATACATCAGCATCACATCATGTGCATGAGCACAGCATCAGAATCAACTTGTGCACTAGCCACTTCACAAAATCACCTAGACATACCCAGGTCTCTGGTTACTTCAGCACAGTAATTGGGAAACATGCTACCCAAATTACTGTTCCTTTACATCTACTGTCTAATGATGTGAAGTATTATCACACATTATCTCACTGCAGAGCCGTTTTCTGTTCAACTCTTTTGCCACCAAATGTTACACTTCAGGTTTATTTTGTAAGAATTTCAGCTCTTTGTCTTTACAGTTCTTTCATCAACTGAATTGTGTTAAAAAATATCCTGGACCTCCACGAATACAATAGTCATTTCCTGAAATAGCTTGAAATGTCTAGTAATTTCTGCTAATTATGGAATGAAGTATTAATGCTGTAAAATGACCAATTTCCATATGATTAAATATATGTCTGAAGTAGTGATTCATCAAGGAGTTCATATGCTGACAGCATTTCAGTATGCAAAACATATGACACTTATTAAGCAAAGAATTCACATTTGCTTAATATTTGCTCTTTGTGGGAGGTTTCCTGTCTCACTCTCAGACCATAACACACTCTGCATTTCACAGAGACAATACTGAAAGAAAGCTTTAAACACAAAGCCCACAGAGGAGAAAACTGTCACATTTGCTCATTTAGTTTTCCTGAAGAAAAATATTTTGGTAACTAATAACAACAGATTCCAGCATTTTTTGATTTCCTTTGAACAGATGCACCATGACCATCCACAGCAGAATATGGAAAGTGAGCAGGAAAACCAGACAAGCTGTACAACTTTTAATTTGTAATAACACGTACTGTTATACAAATCTGAAATCCTTAGTCAAACAGATGAACCCAGGCAGAAGTACTTACAGATGGGACAGGGATACCAGGTCGTTGAAAGAACCTTCTGGAACACTGGAAATATCGTTTCCATGGAGTGTCCTAGAAGAGGGGAGAAGCAGGATGGATCAAACCACCATATTTTATCTGCTCCATATAAGTGAAGGAATTAGGGCTTACAAAGGGTATTTAAGTCTGTTTCTTTGAGAGTTTCTATGAGCTTCACAACTCCTTAGCTTCCACGCTTTATTACTTCTACTTCTAGATTTTGGCATTTAAAATAGTGATACCGTTGGAACTGTTGGTGACTAATTACAATTTCAATTACAAAGGTGACATACTATTTATGCTATTAAAAGTGTATTGATGACAAGCAGAGCCCCACATATAGACCTGTATTCGCTTACAGAATCCCATTAGCCAGAAAGACAGAAAAAACAGAACAGGGAAAACAGGAACTGTGGAAGTTAAATTAAATATTGACTTCAGAATGATCCTAGGAGAGAACAAGGGTCCATGAGGGCAAGTATCACTGCACCTTCACATCCCACTTTCCTATTCTTACAGTAGGAAATACCTGTGTGGTATTTTTACAATCTGTTTGACAAATACATTTATGCTACCAGGGAAAATACTTGAAATCAGTTGTTTTAGGCCATTATTCATCCTGTGCAAAGAAACAAACATATTTCTAGCAGAGTTTTCAGGGTCCTTGTGAAAGGGTTTTCCACTGTTTCCAGGACAATTGAAGCAGCCGCTTTATCTCTTTTCTAAGAAATACATTTATGTGTGTGTTACATAGGTAAGGATAAATGAAAAGATTTTTCTTGCAGCTTGTAGAGCATAATCCTTGTATTCAGAGTGGCAGACCCAAGAGTAAAATTCATTATTTGTGATTACTTGTGGTTTTCATTGCAATAGTAACTGAAGGCCCTGCAACACAGTAGGGCACCATCACAGATGCTTTGGCAGACAGCGCTACGGTCAGATGAGAAAACATGCAGCAACAAATGAATGTGAGGCAGGGCACAGGATGCTGGGGGTTTACAACTACATGAAACCCATTGAGAAGATACACAGTCATGTAAGATTTTATTTAATTTGATTTATAAATAAAATCAGCTACTCAGCTGCTGCATCCTCCATATCACTAGATAACTACCTGGTAAAACAATAGCATAAAGAAAAATAGTTATAGTTTATCCTCATTTTTCTAGTTTGCACGTCACTGAATAGTAGTTTACTACTACTCATAATAACAGACGGAAGTCATAACGAGCCAACAAGAGTAGATGCTGCTGGATCTCACTAGCTGATGTTTTGTTTTGTTTTTTTTTAAACAAAAGTTGGTAGAAAACTTGCAAAGGAAAAGGACATCAATATTTTAAAGTTGCATTTTTTTTTGCCCTTCTCCCCTGAGCTGGCTCAGTTCTAGCAAACTGCTATATTCTTTATAGCCACTTTCCCAGGACCAGGAATTACTGTCAGTGTTCCAGATGTGGCAGAGGAGGGTGGAAAACAGAAATCTGCTGTCAGTTTTCTAGCAGTTCTTTTCCTGGAGTCATTTATTTTCTAACTCACCTGGTGATTTGTGGAACACAACATCACATCTTACCTTTCATTTCTGTGACTGTACAGAGCCTTGAAAGGGTGCACACTGAGCTTAAAACAAACCAAACCTGTGGGCCCATGGAAATACACAGTAGCCCCAGATGAACATAAAACCATCTGGGTTTGCATCCTTTCTTCCCCAACATCACTGTAAGCTTCACCAGGATGTACATGATGCTTTATAACTCTTATGAATTCTTCCTTTACATACTACTTTACACCAGCATACACACAGCAAGGAAAGCCAAACTTGCCAAGGATACACCTTGCCAAACACACCTTGTCCTGCCTCACATGGCAGTGAACTAGGTTCATGGGGCTGTGAACTAGGTGAGCATAAGCAATGTTACCATGAGCACATTTCACAGCTGCTTATTACAGCTTCAGTTTCTGTTTTATTGTACCACAAAGCTTTTCTATAGAGCATGAAACCACAAAAAGCTACAGCAGAGTTATCCTTCTGGCATCTTTCTCCAGTTCTTAATGCCAGTACATCAGAAACTTCCCCTTCCAACATCTTGGGTCTGAGATTTTCTTTTAAGCATACCTAGGTTTTTGGCTATTAATAATACTGGCATGTAAGGATAGATCTCCAAGCAATTCATCTGCACAGGAAGGATACGAGCTCCCACGCAGTAACTCCAGATAAAGCACACTCACTAATTCTATACAGAATGACCAACTGACTGAGACATACCCCACAGCTACTAAATAGGAGTTATTTTTGTTGGTATGAGGATGCAAGATCAGGCCTGGTCAAAAACTTGTCATCCAAGTGTTTCCTCTTTCAATGAAATGAGCACATTTGAATGAGCAGCCACACAGAATGAGCCTATATTCTGATCTTTTGAACTACTCAGAGGTGTGCAAGACAATCCTCTCTGAACAGACAGCAGAATGTCTATTTATCTTCCTGTCAGATCAGTTGTATATATTCTGTGAAGGGGCGCATTTTCTTTCCTAGATGCCTTGGAAACTCATCACAAATGCAAGCCCATTTGCTATGAATGACTTCACTACATGTCTCAAAGACTGAGGTATGTTTCCTGCATTTTAATAAGAGAAACCACATCAACAACATCATCACCATGCAGCTAAAATGAAATGGTAAATGCTAAACCCCTTTAAACTCACAATAATAAACAGGGGTGAGAGAATTCAACAGTGTAATAAAATCTTCTTCCTCTTGGATCAACAACAGGAATCTTACACATTTGAACACTTAAAGCACATACAATTATGTGTGTATTCTCCCTCAAAAGCACAACTTCCTCTTGCCTAAACAGTGGTAAGCAGCAGGGGTATGGATTTAAGGTGATGTGGATCTCCTCTCAGAGCATGTAGTAACAAAACACTTGAATTTTTGAAACAGAAACTCTCTTCTACATGTAATCTCACTAACTTACTACTTTGCCTTCAGGTAAGGAACACTAGGTTACTTCAGACACAAAGGGAATGCTTTTTCAGCAAGCTATGATCTACCCTGTAAAGCCAGAAATGCGGCTAAAAGCTTGACTGAGCTTGCAGAGCCACATCCCATCAAAGGCAAACACCTACAATGAACCCCAAAGGATGCCAAACCCTGCAGGAAACAACACAACTTGGATGTCAGAGGAAGCAGGAAACCAAAGTGTCATTGCTCAATGTTCAGTACAGTGATGCTTCTACAGATTTATTGCATAGGTTCAAGTAGTCATTATGTGATGCAAAAAAAAACTCATACCAAAGCCAAATGAGTGCAGGATCCAATAAGGAAAATGTATTGCAAAAATTATTTCCAAAATTATTAGTGATAGCTTTATCATCAAACACATTACTATGTTTGTGTAGGCTTTGAACTGCAGTAAATATCCACTGGTTTTCATTAAAACTAGAACATCTTATCTTAGCAGAATATCCTGCAGCTTATTTTATCCATATAATAAATATAACATGGAAAATTGTTTAGTGATCTGAGAAAGTACTTTTATTTCTGGACTTTGCCTCTTCATTGAATCATGACAATATGTCAGAAGTTACAACATTGCATACAATAAGAATAATCTTGAAAATAATCAATTCAGGTCTATCAGAGAGTTCTAATACTTGTAATTATTTGTAATTAATTTGTCTCAATCTCATTTTTTTTAATCCATTCACATTTAGCTTCTAAAAAGACTAGCTTTGGACAAAAAGCCCCAAACAAAACCAAATTGCCAATGTTTCACTGCAGTAGCTTTGGTGTAAAAACTACTGATACCAACTTTTGCTTATTACAAAACCTCTTCAGGTTCTATGTTGAAACACCTCCCCAGCACACTATGGCTGCCATTAGGGATAAGCCAGGTGAAGCCTGAAGAGAAAGGGCCTGATTGTGTAAAAACACTCATACATATTGAGGCTTAAACATCAACATGTTGACTCTGCAGTTTTCTCAGTTATGCTGATAACTGTAAGAGAGGGAGGACAAACACAGATATCTGTCAAAGACCAATTTCATCATACAGCTATGATTATTCTGATTTTCAAATAGATATTTACTATATAGGCAAAAAGCAAAGAAAACATAAGGAATTGGGAAGACACAGGTGCCTGCATAAGAAGTGTCTGCTACCTTCAAAGGCAATGAGAGCTCTATTTTCATTAAAAAACGAAAGTGGAAATTGTTTTACTTTTGTTTTCTCTTTTAAATTCCCCTGAGAATATGGATAATAAATGACAATGCCAGATTGCACACTGTCACTCAGAAACCATTTTCTCCCTGGAGAACTGATTTTTACTAACAACATAGATGACATGTGGCAAAAGTTGTAGCTGATACCATAGTTTTGTGGGCCATAATAAATCAAATCAATCTGGAGGCTTCCAAATGCATGCAGCAGAGACAGAGATTTTCATTTAGGCTTCATTTTACTCATGCTGCTCTGTGCAAGACAGGGAGGGCTTCTCCCTTGAAGAAGGAAGATATTCTTTCAATTTGATTAGCAGATAATTTAAAAAAGCCAAAAGATAACAAACGTTATTAAAATACTGTCCTTTGTTTCTGTCCATATGTGGCCTTCAAGAAAAGAAGTAAAAAGACAAACTGTAGGTACTGGAAAGAGTGAGACATGGTGTATCTATACTGTAATTCAGGGCAGAGAGTCCCACACTAGCTTTAATCAAGCTTGCATATCAGACACAGGCCAGAAGACAGCTCCATATGGAATAATTTATTTGGCCATGAACAGAACATATTCATCTGTGGCTGAATTTCAGGATTCATGTAACAGCTCGAATGTGACCATCCTAGTGCACTAGAAATCAGAGTCCCAAGCCAAACTTAAAACAACAAATCCAAATCACGTATCTTTCTTGGTTTTACTAACGAAAACTGGATATCAAAAGCTGTCTTGTAAGTTAGGATGCTAAAACCTAGATATCTATTTTACCACTCAAATCACAGTGAAAGAGCTTGGACGAACATCATTGCCTTATTGCTTCCACAGTTACAGTACTGCATATATCAACACCTTAATTCCACACTTAGGGAGTCAGTGGACATCAACTACTGTTCTTCAAACCACAGAAACTTCTGCTTGTGAAATAATAGCATGAAGTTTCAAAGGACTCAGAACATACTCTTCAGCTCCTCCGTCCTGACCTTTCAGTGTTCAAAGACCTCTCTCCTGCAGCAAACCGAATAATCCCAGCACACACAAGCTATTGAATTCATTTGCTTTCAGTTGACCGTGCAAGTAATGGTGACCCACTTGTGTTGCTGGGCAAAAAAGGGAAGAACGTGAGGAAGAAGGTGGCTTTTCCACCTTGACGTAACAGCAGCACATGGGGTAATGTGTCCACACAAACAATGAAGCACACGCAGCCTAGGGTCTGTTTCTGATGGGGCAGGTGGGGAGTGGGAGACAGAAGCAGGAGTCAGTCTACCAGATGCCTAAGAAAAGCTGGTAGGGGGCTGCTTGCTGCAAGGAACAGACTGACATCCCATACTGAGACAATATAAAGATGACTTTCAGAAGAAACTGTAAACAAATTGTTCAATTCAGAAAACTGCTGAAAACAGCTACACTGGAAAGAAAGAGTACAGAAAAGGATCTCCAAAGGAAAAGAAACCACACATGGACACCTCTGAGTATGCCACTAGTCAACATGAGGTGAAATTTCATTCACAACAACATTAGAGACAGACATCTCAGCATTACTGGTGCCTAGCCACTGGCTTCACTTACTCATTGTTTTAGTGGGTGTTCTTCTATCTTACCTTCAGAAGATTGCATTTTTATGTAAACCTTGCCTGCAGGAATCTGAATTAATAGATAACATTCTAAACATTCAGCGGGTTTCCGTAGAGACACTCTTGCTGAAGCACCCAATGGAACCTTACACTCTAAAACATCAGTTTTTCACAAAAAGTCTTTTCCTGTGGGGCACCCAAACATTGTTTAAGTAGAAGAGACAGACCCTGTCTCTTGGAGGGCTGTTTTCATGATAGTTCTTGCCCCTGAACTATCAGAGGAAAGACATTTGTCCTGCAAATGTGTAATTGCTTCTTTTCAAGGTTTAGCATTCACCTGCATTAGTCATTACCGGACATATTGCACCTAAGTACAAGTACATTGAAGCTAATTGTGTGAAAATATTTACGACTACTGGATCAAGTGAAAGCCATCTGCTCATTAAACACCTCCTGCCACCAACAGCATTCTAATAAGCTGCAACTCAGCTGCATTGAAGAAGTGGTACTTACAGCACTCGAAGAGACCTGAGCCCATGGAAGGCATGGACTGGAATGCATCGGAGTCTATTGTAACTCAAGATGCTGGAAAAATGAGAAAAAAGAGTTACGGCATTCAATTTTTGTTGATTATTTCACTACCAACCCAAACACAAAGCGACATAGAAAGCCACATATGCTTAAGTAACAAATTATATACTAACTGTTCAACACCTAAGGCGGTATCTGAAAAGCAATTACAACTACTACCAAAACTCTGGACTACTTACAGTGTTGATAACTGAGTCATGTTGGTGAAGGTATAGTTGGTCAATACACTTATGCTGTTGTTGCTCAAATCACTGAAGAAACACACAGAGAAATATCACTTATATTAATGGAGAAATAAGTCTTTTTTAAAGTTTACTTAGTATCTGCAAAGCAAAATGCTTGAAGCAATTAAAAAGTCACATATTATCTACTGATGTATTTTGTAACCCTGAATAAGCTCTAAAAGCAAAGCCCATCAGACTCCCCTCAAAAGCCTCAGTCAGAAATATTAAGGCCTATTTTCAGCATATAGCATTCAAAAAAGAAAGCATCAGTGAATACATGCAATATTTTTGAAGAAGGATAAACAATAAATGATACAAGCACGGGTGAATATGTACTGTACCAACTTGCTTTGCAATGTATCACAGACATACCATTTCCATATGTTCTTCACACTGACAGCTACTAGAACAAAATGTCATTTTTCATTTGGAAAAAGCCTTTTAGGCTCAAATAGAACATTTTGGTTTGTTGTTGCTCTCCCTTGAAAAACAAAATTAGAAATATTTCCAAAACCCCCCACTCTTTTAAAGCAGAATTCCAGCTTTCCTTCCATATTTTGGTCTGAGGTTGTTCTGCCCATTTGACTGGAGTATCTACAGAGCTGATTCCAACAGCATCTGAAAACGTCTCATAAATGGCTCAGCCAAGAAATTTCACTCCTGTGTATCTCAGGGAGCAATTTACTGAACAAGGTCTAGTTGTGTCTCTACCTGCATGAATGTTCAGAGCAGAAACACCTATGCAAATTTTCATTGCCTTAGCATTATAAATACTGCCTCACCTAGAACAAATTAATGCCATCTCCTCTGCTAATGACCTTTACAGCCTTGCACAGATAAATCTGCCAAGTGAAACTTGCAGACTGTGTGAGAGTTTAGTCCTCTCGCAGAGACTGGAAGCTCCTGCAGAGGAAAGGGCTCCGGTGCTCTCACTCACCTCGCTCTTTCTACACTCTTTATGAACATTTATTGGCAACAGTGGCCACTGTGAAATTCTTTCCAGATTTAAATTACAGAAGGGGCTTGGGGTTTGTATGGTTTTGTTTTTTTCTTTTCTTTTCCTCAAATACACACCATTTCTGTTCCACCTACAAGCTAGTGCAGAAAGAGGCAGGTAATTTTCTTGACATTGAAACCAGGTGTTTCTTACATCAGTGTGAGGTGTCTGAAGGTGGAGAGTCCCTTCGGCACAGCAGTCAGATGGTTTCCCTCCAGGTACCTGAAAAATGACAGATTTGACAATTACACAAACACGTTAACTCTTGTCCTTCAATCTACAGCGTGAATTGTCACTCGAATCACCAAGGAAATGATCTTTGATTCACTGCTATGAAACTGTAACAGTTTCTTCTTTATAAGTGAATTATCCCACATGCAAAGCATATAGAATCATAGAATCATAGAAGAGTTAGGGTTGGAAAGGACCTTAAGATCATCCAGTTCCACCCCCCCTGCCATGGGCAGGGACACCTCACACTAAACCATCTCACCCAAGGCCTCGTCCAACCTGGCCTTGAACACTGCCAGGGATGGAGCATTCACAACCTCCCTGGGCAACCCATTCCAGTGCCTCACCACCCTGACAGGAAAGAATTTCCTCCTTAGATCCAATCTAAACTTCCCCTGTTTAAGTTTTAACCCATTACCCCTTGTCCTATCACTACAGTCCCTAATGAAGAATCCCTCCCCAGCATCCCTATAGGCCCCCTTCAGATACTGGAAGGCTGCTATGAGGTCTCCACGCAGCCTTCTCTTCTCCAGGCTGAACAGCCCCAACTTCCTCAGCCTGTCTTCATACAGGAGGTGCTCCAGTCCCCTGATCATCCTCGTGGCCTCCTCTGGACTTGTTCCAACAGCTCCATGCCCTTTTTATGTTGAGCCTATTATTAGTTATTATTATTATGAGTTATTACTGAATTATTATTAGACTTGGAAACAAATAAAGGATCTTTGGCCTACAACAAAAATGATCATCTGGTTCTACTATGACAGCAACTGAAGAAAGGGAGAAAAATTGTACAGCTTGTGCCCTGAACCTAAGCTTACCTTTAACAAGTTACTGTAAGAATGTTGAGTTCTGACTGACCCTGTTAGGAGAGGTTTTGTCTTTGCACATAAGTTCCTTGTACAGCCAGACCTGGAAGAGGAGCTGCACTGCCATGTCTCTGTGTTGCACAAAGTCTCACTTGTTCCAGTGTCAACACAAACACCCATGAGTTTGGTGGCACATCCTTTACAGCACTTCCTGCTATGGGATACACACACTCATCACCTATCCTTTCCAAAGTATGCTGGTACAGGAGGAAAGCTTGGTACAAATTGAACACTGAAGACCAAATTCTCTTTGAATACAGGCTCCTCCTACAAGCACTAGGTGTATTTAAAACAGCTTGTGTTTCCAGGGTGGAAGTTGTCTGAGACACCATGGAATGTGTCTCTATTCAGACACATGAACAGCAGGGCTAAAGCACGTGGCAGCAACGAGATATGGGGCTTCTCCTATTTATTACCATAAAAAAGTGAGACAGAGCTGGCTTTGGGGTGAAACTGCACCCCTGGAAGATACCAAAGTAATAAGGCTCCAATGGAAACTGACCACTGCAGTGCCATGACACTGTCAGGGTGACTCCAGACATCTGCCAGAAGCTGCAGAGAGACAAAACCTGGGAGACAAATCCAACCTTCTCAGAAATAGTGTGTAGGAGGAAGGCAGTCCTGGCCAAAACCAGGACACTCCCTCCACAGGTGAGGATACAAGGTGAAGTGGTATTTCCCTTCCTTACAAGATACTTGTGGAGAAAAGCTTACCCAAGGAAGTGGTGAATGCTCCATCCCTGGCAGTGTTCAAGGCCAGGCTGGATGGGGCTTGGAGCAAGCTACTCTAAGGGAAGGTGTCCCTGCCCATGGCAGGGGTTGGAACTGAGTGAGCTTTAAGGTCCCTTCCAACCCAAACCAGTCTGTGATTCTGTGATTCTATGATTTTTCCTAAGGTAGACATGGGCAATACAATTGATGTGGTATGTTTTGAGAGATAAGGAAGCATAGCCAGGAAACGCTGCCCCCAGACACGACAGCACCCAGTGTGCTGCCTCTACAGCTAGAAATATAACCAAATAATCATGGTAAGAAGTTTTATCCCACACATACTGTTTCCTTTTCTTTGGCAATAGACCTCCTTATTCTGCATTTACTATAGCAAATAATAATAGATTATTACTGTGCTGCATGTTCTCTCTCCACATTAACTGTAACAACACAGAGATGTTTGTGTAAACTAAAGCCAAGAAAACTTTATTTTTACATCATTTAAAAATAAAATCTATAAACACCAATAATTCCTTATATAATGCACTTTATAACTGTTGCATCTTCCCCTTCTATGTCAGCACAGTGCTCTCTCACCATTTTCTGCTGCTTCAGCTCTCTTCTGAACTAAAGTACCCCAGGCTCACGGTTACCTGCTCTGTCTGTGTACAGGATCCCACTGAGGCAGAGTTATTTCAGAGTATACGGTGGAGGTGACCTTGCTCCTGCTAGGATTAGGCCAGACTAGCAGGACCACAGGCTCTTGCATTACCAAAAGTAACATACTTTCTTAATGGAAATCCCCCAGTTGAACAAATTCTTCTCTCCGTTCACAATGATCACAAGCATCAAGTGACAACACTGCCGAGCAAACAGACCTTGCAAAGTAGTGGCAGCTGCTCTGCTGACACAGACCATCACAAACCAAAGCATGGGTTAGTTACGCCACATTTACACCTCCCATGGACGTTCATATCCAGCAAGTGGAAAGTCACTTGCTTCATTTTGACTAGATTCGTTATAAATTATATTGAAAATTGAGTTCCTTGGTGAATTCACTCCATAAATTGTTACACAGAAGACCCTCAGAACTCGGGCACATGTGTTACTATTTAAACAGGGCAGATCATGTCTCATTTCCCCAGTCATGCTCTGTGATGGACGCAGCAAGCTGCTGGGAGTCTGTGCCTTCTCTTTCATCCCAGAAAGTCGCAAATCTTATACCCATGCAGCAGCGTAGGTTAAGGTTCCAGTCTTTTTTTCAAATGCAAAATCCAAGGGATTTCCAAAGGAAATCAAAAGCAGGTCATGCATTATGTATTTGGAAGCTATATATGAATTTCCTTTAGGAAAGGAGATTCAACTCTTGCAATGTGTTGAAATCTGCAGAAATATATTTTCAGTATATTCTCTTGTTGATCCCAATATGAAATAGCCTGCAATTTGAACAAACTGATGATGGCTAGCCAAGGCTTTCCCCCCGTTTTCCTCTCTGGTGCAATCAAAAGTTGAAGGTACACATTTTATTCCAGCGCTTCATTATTCAGGCTAACAGACATGCGGACCCCTGGAGTTAAACCCCTACAGAAGATCTGCTTTGAATAGCTTTGGATTTGTACTGCAAGCAATTCCATGGTTATAGAAACGTGGTAGCAGAAAGCTGCAATGCTTCTACCAGTGGTATAATTTCTGAATAAACACACTGAAAAATTACCGCTAATATACTTCTGATGCAGGCATAAGAATAATTCCCTACTGTTAAACCTCTTACCACATTATACTAAGAATGGCAGTGTTTTCTAACAAAAGGCATTCATTTTGAAAGCACATTTAAGAGCAATGAATTTGAAATAACCAGAGCTTTTATGGCATAAGAGCATTCCAAGAATCAGGAGGATCCAAGATGCAACACTGGAAGACACCGGTTGCTGCAGGGGAGCTGCTGCCCGCTGCGGGCCAGGCCTCTGTCGGAGCCGGGACATGGGGACAGCAGCTCTGCACCTTGCTGGGCTGAAGGTGATGTATGGGGCTGGAAGGTGGACACAGGGAATCGAATCACCCATTCCTGAGGGTGAAGGGGTGCAGCTCAGTTACAAGACTGCTTATTTATGTTTACATACATATCAGTGAGGAAACATGGAGGAAGCTACAGACCCCTGCCCAAACAAAACAACACAAGCCAGAACAGAATGATGCAGGGGGAAGATTGTCGCTGTACTTCTTTTCAATCCTTAGCCAAGGGAAGATGATATGCATGGCATCTGGTGTTCAAAGAAATTCTGGCATGAATGAAAGAATTCATGCTCAGAGTCAGGTTAATCAATACATAGCCAGAGTCAAGAGCGGGTGTCAGCTGCCTTAACTTAGACACACTGACTAGTATCCAAAGCAAACTCATTTGCTTCCTAAAGACTCTAGATTCTGCAGTTGGGGTATCAGATTGGAAATTGGTTTTTACCCATGACTGCTGCTGGGAATCCTGAAGTCTCAATAATTTGTAACCAGGGAGCAATTACCAGAGCCAACACTGAAAAAACCCAAACCAAGCCACCAAATACCAACCAGGGAAGGCTTCTGTGGGGTCTGGCCATGCCTCGCTCCATGCCTGCACTGCAGAGCCCAGTGCTCGCAGCGGCCCCAGGGCTCATCCAGCAACTGCCACACACATTAACATCACATATAAAATATTTAAAACTATGCATAAAAGTTGACAGCTGTTCTTTTTTCCAACTTGTCTATTTTTATACTGAAACCACTTGGATTGGAGGTGATATAACCACCAGCACAAGGTGCCAAAGCGTCATGTAACGATTGGAATCACTTGGAACCTTTTTTGCACTGAAATGTCTATTCAGCCATAAAGTCAAGCTCACAGCAGCAATATGTGCTAAGAGAAGAAACTGGAGAGAGAAATCAGTTCTCAGGCAGTAATTGAAAAGGCACAAAGCATCTCCTTTAATTTCTTTAAATATTTCATGTAGAATGTTACCTTACAAAAAAAGATGGTACTTGACAATTTTATGCAGCTCTAAAGTTAAGTTATAGTCTGAACTTTTTGATGCAGATACCCAAGATCCTAAATTTTTGAGGCAAGCTTCATTTCCTAAAACTGGTGGTCTGGAAGAGAATTGGGCTGTGAAAGATGGAACATCCACAAAGCATGAATTTTAAGAGCTTCAATTACAGTTTCTTGAGAAGAAACAAAATTCTAGTACAGATCTAGGTACAAATCTGGATCTTGAATGTGCTTTACTTTTGGCAGCTCTGGATTTTGCTGTATTTGTACATCAGATCCCAACCTACAGGTTTGATGCACAGAAACATGGCTGTGTTTGGGAGAAAAGTGAAGCCCTGAAGTTAAACTCACCTTCAGTCTCTATTGGTGCTAAAGTCACCTTTCTGATATGTACTTAA